CCATATCAACCGTTCATATTGTCTACGTATGTCCTGACACTAATACACGCAAATGTATTCACGGCTAGTAACACCTCGCTGTATTTTAGCTGCCGAATTAGGCGATAAAAGCTGGGGGTATAAACTGTACCATTGCAAATGAATAGCGTAAATCTCAAAATGATTCTCACTAGAACGATCGAAAACGACTACAAGTTAAGTTTTACGAGGCTAAGACGCACTGCAGCACCTACCTGAACAGGCGTCATATATTTGAATTTCAGATCTGTCAGCGTATCAGTCACATGAGCACTAAGTTTTACTGGAAGCTCGGTCCATGTTTTTTCACTGGACGCCGCCATGTTGAGTATGAAGTAAATACCAATACTACGTTGAGGGCGCACGTATGAAGTAAATACCAATACTACTTTGAGGGCGCACGTATCAGTTATCTAATCGGTTTGGAGTCAAATGCGAATTATTGCTGGGCACATGCGGATGAAAATGCAGTTTTGCTACTATTTAACAAACTAGATGACTGATTTGCAAAAAGTTTGGCACGCACGCTTGGGAAGAATGGTTTTGGTGTGCACGTTACGAGTTGGGGGAGATTGTTTTAAAGAGGTACGAACATTTCTTAAGCATTTTTGTAAACACAGAAATGAAAGTTGTATGAATTCACCATTTATTGTCATTTTGTTTACTCAGTCTCAGATATGTATGATTGTTCTTCTTTCTTTTGTTTGCTCTTGTTGCAGTTCTAAAGGCTTAATAAATATTATTATTATCCAAGAAGAGGAGAGGAACGTGCGTAAATGAACATATCGTGGCTTATTAATGTACGCAATCAACGCAGTAAGTCACATAATGACCTATTTATTTAACATGAGGATTTATATGCTAAGATGTAATTAAATTACAAATCACGATTATAAACTTGTGCTCCCTGTAAAAATGGAACAATTCCACAATCCCAAGGTAAGTTGAGGAAACCGCCAGAATTGAAATGATAAACTTCCATTCAGTAGTTATACAGGCACAAGGGCTTGCCAACTAGCGGTGAATCTCCTAGTACGAGCAGGAGGTGAGAGAAGTGAGGGCTCTTCTCAGCCGCAATGACGTCACAGCTAAAGATTATGATAGAAATAGTGTGTGTACCTTAAAGTGTGTCAAATAATGAAGGTTGGAGTGTATAGAAACATCAGAAAAGTTACGTCACTGTCTTTTCTAGTACGATGGTGGGTACAAAACTATCTATTGCAACTGACACTTATATGACAGATATGATACAAACTGGAACTACATTTCTGTGTTGAATTAGATTGGTCAATGGCTCTTGGAACATCATCCTTTAAAACCATCATCGATCCGCAATGTTAAAGGGCGGTAGTCGTTACGCCACTCATGCGTGAGATATATGGTCTCATATAAACAAAGATGGCGACTTTGAATGTAGCGCAGATCAACGAGTACAAACTGAGATGTTACTTCGTTTTAATTAGGTATTTTTAGGTGATTGGAAGGTATCGAAGGAGTCATCGACAGTAATTAGTGCAAGTCGCGCCCAGGGCAAACCGCATACTTGTGATTTCCAT